AATCCTAACTCGTTCCTTTTGTTTGAATGTGCACAATATCGAGAAATTAACAGTTTTACTGTAACAAAAAAGGTACAACCTTTCCCATCACCTTGAACAAAACTAATGTATTAAGAAAATGATCGAAAATGACAGCACGTAATATATAACTAAAGAAAAAGAGAGGAAAGGGAAGGAATTTCGGTATAGAATTATCTGTCTTTGACAACTTGCGCCCAGAGACTCACGCCTCATACGCACATGTACAGTAATTTTATTAGCCAAATGAATGGTTATGAATCACGAATGGTTTCATTTGTGTACAAATTATCACGGGGAGAAATTGTTACATTTGAGTAAAATACCCAAATGTAACAATTTATCCCCGTAATAATGGCGCTACCCCATCATTTCGTTTATAAAATTACTAATCGCTCAGCAAATATTCCCTTTTTAATAATACAAGTCAACGTAGCGCCATTATTAGGGGAATAAATTGTTACATTTGGGTATTTTACTCAAATGTAACAATTTTTCCCCGTGATAATTTGTTTACCCAAATTGAAACAATTCGTGATTCGTAACCATTTGGCTAATAAAATTACTGTACATGTGCGTATGAGGCGCGAGTCTCTGGGCGTAAGTTGTCAAAGACAGATCATTCTATACCGAAATTCCTTCCCTTTCCTCCCTTTTTCTTTAGTTTTTACGTGCTGTCATTTTCGATCATTTTCTTAATAGATTAGTTTTGTTCAAGGTGATGGGAGAATGTTGCACCTTTTCTGTTACAGTAAAACTGTTAATTTGTATTGTGCACATTGAAGCAAAAGGAACGAGTTAGGATCATATCTAGTTTATAATTAAACTAGGTTACCCAAAGGGTAGTAATGCTGCCTTTGACAGCAAAAGACAAACTACAGGGTGTTGAACGAGTCCTTCAGAAACATCCTATTATTGTTTAGCCTGCATGGCAGGCGGTTCCTAAAATTGGGCAAGCCTGGGAAATACCGCCTGCCATGCAGGCTAATTATTGTTATCCTTGTTAACCCATTTATTGACAGTACCCTACCACTGACTGAGTATTAAAAATCGTCTGGCGTTAGACAGGGTAAATACTAAAGTAGGGGTCATTACTGTGCTGATGAATTAACAAGAGCCATTGGCAGATAGGTTTGTTAACCCATTTACTGGCAGTACCCTGTACCACTGACGAGTAAAATCCTCTGGCGCTCGACAAGGGAAGGGCGCATTGCCAGCTAATGGGTTAAACCACCGTGGTTAAACATAAGATTTCATGATGCTCCAGGAAATGTAAACAAGCAATCAGTGTGACATCCCAGTTTATATATTTATATACTCGGAATATTGATTTCTCGGTACATACAAAATTATTTTAAAGTATAACAACCAGCGAAGACGTAAGGCACTAACTACCCTGCGCGGCTGCGCGCAGACTATATAACGACATATATATGTCATCCGTCCGGTCCGTCCGTCATTCATCCTCCGTCCGTATCCGCGTTTTATCCTAACCCGTTTTTAAAACACAAAGTTTGCATTTAATTAAGTAGTGCGGTTCGTCATGATCAATATTTTCAAAAGCGGCCAATTAGACCAGGGGTTAAAGGGCAATGACAATGGGCATGACATGCAGGTGACATTTAACATTGCGTCTCACTAATTAAAATTTGCGTGTTTAATAGTGTTTATCAAAGACGAAAGCAAAAATATATAGAAGACAATCTCACATGTGGAGTTTTTTCACTTACAGTACGTACTGCCTTGTGATGCAGTACAAGTATAAATACAAATGACAAAGCATTTGTAAATCCTAAAACATAATTAAATCATACGGCACATTTAAGATTTTAATATCGTATTTCAGCCGCGTTTATACTGTTTGGCGCATTCGCTGCGTTATATTCATTTACATGTATATACACAGAAAAGCATGTCATTGTCCTTGCAGACCATAGGCAAAAAGCATTTGTCAACCATGCACATACCAAATTTAAGCAATCGTTAAATCATATACATCATACATGTTATGGAAAGAATATGGAAATAATGTTGAATGAAAGCTAGCATCGCGTATAATATTAAAAGCACCGCATATAGTGCTCGAACCACTGCGTATAATTGCAAAAGCATCGCGTATATAAATGGTGAAAGCACCGCGTATAATACTGGAACCACTGCGTATAATGGCGAAAGCACCGTGTATAATGCCAAAAGCACCGCCGTATAATGCTAAAAGCACCCAACAAAATGCCGTTTGATTACTTTAAGCCAGCTATGGCTTTCCATAAAAGAAGACCAAAGATGAAACATGATCACATTGCCTGTTTGCCTTATGCCTGACCACGCTGCCCCACGGTTAAAATTCACAGGTAACGTCATGCAATGCGCCAAATAGAAAATTTTGATTTCGACCCACAAAACAAAATTAGGATCTGCTGCCTTGCTCGCTCGCTTCAGGCTCGGCTCGCTGCGGCAGCAAATATTGTTTTGTTGTTTTGTTGTGGATAAACGATTCACTAAAAGTTAAATTTAAATTGTTAATTGTTAAATTTAATATTAATAACTAGAAAATACATGCATGCAGAAACCCTCGCCTTGCTGACAAAACCGTTGTATTTTCCGAACAGGAAGTATCTAAAGTCGTTGTCATGGTAACACGATAATTTTTTAAGAATATTCTTACAAATGAAAATCGCCTAAAAATATCACTTTTAATTACAAAATTATCAATTTCCCAACATATATATGTTAGGTATATAATTATACGTAATACAAGCTTCAATTTAAGGTAAAATTCAACCACAAACAATTCACAAAACGTTTTAAAGTGTTCTTTATAAAACTAAACTGCCTTTAACTATTAAATGGCTTTATCGATAAACTTTGAGTTTGCAATAAAATGATTACAAATTCTCGCTTGCAAATAACTTTGGTCTTTGCTTTATTTTTTATTTAAAAAATTCAATATAATAAAAAAGGGAATCAATATTAAAGTTACACTGAAATTTATATATGCTGTCTTGTTTAGTTGTTTCATATACGCAAAGGCCGTCGGGTTTTAAAGCCATTATAAAATCAATATTTAAAACAAACTTACCTTCGTTAACGTCGGCTCCCTTCTTTTAGCTGATTCTTTCGCCCTTTCTTTCTTGAAATTTACAAAATCTTGCAGAAATACGAGCAAAAATGAAATATATTTGCAAGAAATTTATCAATCATCAAATCAAGAAATGTTTGCTATTTCGCTGTCGTCATGCAGTCGTTATAATGCAAACTTTAAATTGGACCAATCAGTGTCCGTTATTCATGACAATCCGCCATATTTTTGAGATCAGTGAGGATGACCACCCATCGTTGGTGACCGACGCCCGCGCTCATTGATGAACTTTAGACTTCGCTAATGCTTTCGTTTCTCCGGGTGTAAATAGCCGGGGGGAATTAGTACCCTCGCACGGCGCTTCGCGCCGCCGGCTCGGGGATAATTACAATATTTAGTCAGGGGGTCCACTCACGAAAGTGATTTTCAGTGGAGCCCTGATAAAAAAAAAGAATAAAAAAAATATATAAAACTAACAAAAGTGAATATATGAAAAGTTATATCGTATAAAGTTCTTGCGCATCCAATCGGTTCGGTAGTGAGTCCTATGGCTATGTAGCTAAATGTTTCTTTAGTTTAGTTTTAAAAGTTTTAATTTGCTGTATATTTCGGATTTCCACTGGCAGACTATTCCAGTCGTTGGCAGCATGGTAGCTGAATGCCTGCTTCCCCCAGTTCTTCTTGACGCGTTCCAAATGTATGTTCTGTTTGTTTCGAGTGTTGTAGCTGTGGATGTCAGAGGAGAACTTGAAATTATATTTAAAATCGATGTCATTGTTTAAACACTTGTGCATGATTAGACAACGGTGAAGGTGTCTACGAATTGCTAACGGCTGCCAATTTAACGATCGTAGGGATTCTGAGGCTGACGAGAGTGGATGAGCGTCAAGAATGATTTTAGCGGCTTTGTTGTGAAGAACTTGAAGGTGGTTCATCAGGACAGAGTTGTTTTTATCACCCCACACAAAATCAGCGTAGTCAAAGATCGGCATGACAAGGCTGTTTACTAGAGTACGACGAGATTCAACAGTTGTTTAACTCTTCGTATGATACCAAGACGTTGATTAACTTTGGTAAAGAGTGCTTCAATATGATCTGACCACGATAATGTCTGATTTAAGGTTATACCAAGATACTTAAATGATTCAACACGATTTAGTGGGCTATTATTAATAAGAAGATTTATATTTTGTAGTTTGGCAAGTTTGGCATTACTTCCGAAAACCATAAATTTGCATTTAGAAGTGTTAAGAGTTAAACGGTTAGCACCAAACCAACGAGATAAGTTCTGTAGGTCAGAGTTTAGCTTTTGTTCCAATTCAATAATGGTTTTAGCTGAGCAAAATAGGACTGTATCATCTGCATACAGGGAAATGTCACAGTTATTAACAGTGGAGGGAATTTCATTCACATAAATGAGAAACAGTAAAGGACCCAGTATACTTCCTTGGGGTACTCCGACATGTACTGGTTGAGTGGACGACTGTTCAAGGCCAATAGAAGTGACTTGAAAACGATTAGAGAGATAAGAAGAGAACCAGTTGATTGTTGGCTGTGAAAAACCAATAGTGCCAAGTTTCTGTATGAGACGATCGTGACTAACCGTGTCGAAGGCCTTCGAAAGATCTAAGAAAACTGCACCGGCGATAGAACCTTTGTCTAAATTATCCAGAATGTTGTCAGTGAAGTAGGTGAGAGCAATTGCCGTGGAGAGTTTAGGGCGGAATCCAAATTGTTTCGGGGTCAGGATATTTTCATGAAGTAGATAGCTATAGACTTGACTATGAACAGCTCTTTCAAGTATTTTGCTAGCAGTTGGTAGAATAGTTATTGGTCTATAATTATTGGCATTGCAGCGGTCACCGGATTTGAATAATGCAGTTACTTTGCCACATTTCCATACAGCTGGGAAGACGGAGGTTGCTAATGACCGGTTGTAAAGTTTAGTCAAACTTGTTGTGATAACGTCAGCGGAGTCCTTTAGCAATCTGGCACTGATGTTGTCCAAACCAATAGCTTTGTTTGTTTTAAGACTATTTAGTTTGGATTTAACAAAACACTCATCGATTACATCAAAAGCAAACATTACGCCAGATTCAAGATGGTCTTTACAAACGGCAGAGGTGATGGTAGACGTAACTGTGCGAAATTTATTAACGAGTGTTAAACCAATAGTCGAAAAATGATTATTAAGAATTTCGGAGATTTGCCTGGGTTCGGTAGATGGAGTTCCATCAACTTCAATACATGAAATGTTCGAGCTCGATTTACGTGAAGTAATTTCATTGAGGTGTTTCCAGAGAGTGTTTGGATTATTTTTAGAGATTTCAATAAGATTAAGGTAGTATTCCGACTTACTCTTTTTGACTTGTCTATTTACGTGGGATTTCAAACTTTTGTATTTGGACCAGTCAGAAGGAGAATTAGATTTGGTAGCTTTACGGAAAGAGCGGTCGCGTTCCTGCATAGATGTTTTCAACTCAGATGTCATCCAAGGAACATGACAACCTTTTATCCTAGTTCGTTTCGTAGGGGCATGACGTTCTGCAACATCTAAGAACAGCTTATTCCAAAAGTTTACTGCGGTATTAATATCGGGGATTTCATCAACAATATTCCAGTCTATGTTCCTGAGCTCATCCAGAAATGCTTCTTTAGAGTAATGTTTGTAGGAAGTATATTCGATTGTTCTGCCAGGACTCTTTGTTACACCAGCCTTGACAACACAGTAAATGAGGAAGTGGTCGCTGATATGTACCGATAACACACCACTTGATACAATGCGGTGTTTGTTATTAACAAACAAGAGATCAATTGCAGTTGATAAGAGTTCGTTTATCCGCGTTGGAGTGTCGATGAGTTGGTTTAAATTGTTTGCACTGGCAAAAATACTAAGTCTTTGTTTCAGGCTGTGACTAGAAGTATTTCTTTTGGCAAGGACGTCAACGTTAAAGTCACCGAGTAAAACTAGTTCAACGTCCTGGGGAAGTAAGGAGATCTTTGAATTTAATGTATCGATGAAATTGGGTAATGGTGCATCAGGGGCTCGATAGATTGACCAGATGAGGATGTTTTTACATTTCGGCCGATTGAGTTCAAGGACACAAGACTCTATGTTATCATCTTGCAAGTCAGGCCGTGCTCGATAGGGTAAGCCATCACGAATATAAATCATGCACCCACCAGCTTTTTTGCTTTTACGGTCATTTCTGACAAAGGAATAACCTTGAATATTTAGTTCAGGATCAGATATGTTTTTGGTTAACCAGGTTTCGGAGATGGTCAGGACATCGAAAGGATTATTTAGTAAAAGAAGGCGTAGTGAATCTATCTTATTAGTTATGCTTCTTACATTTAGATGAGCAATTTTAAGTCCACGGTTACTTGGAAAACCAATGTCACTAAAATTCTGCGAATCTTGAGAGATATTGGCAGGTCCAGGGTTTCGGCTGACGTCTCCAGCTATGAGTACAAGGGAGTAAGCACATAAACCAGCGTTTAGAAGTTTAATTCCGGCTCTAACTTTAAAGGATTGTGATATATTCGGGGGGTTCGATTTACGGGGACATCCACAATTCCTGTTTGGATAACTTGCGATATCAGCACCCATAGATATCACGAGCGAGGCGTCTGGAGTGACCACGTTCCATGAGTTACACGAGTTGAGGACAATGAAAAGGAACAATACCAGTATGAGTGAAGAAAGCCAGAAGGCAATATGTCTCTGCATTATGTCTAGATATGAAAGGTCTTGTATAGGTTAATTGAGGTCAAGTACTAGACGATTGTACTGCAATAAAACTCGCCGGGAATATTATTGCGCTTGAGAAATATAACAAACTTTGAATGTAGATTGTTTAACAAAGGACTTTAGTCGACAATTCACGGAGATCAGCCAAACAAAAGAAAACTAAGTAAGGACAGAAGGAATAATTGAGGTTTCAAGACGAACTTCAAGGCTATATGACGACGAGACACAGACAGTTAGTTGTTGCCACGGTAACTGAGACGCCGCGAATTATTCAAAAATCCCAACGGTCAGAATAATGTATACTACGCGATAATTCAAGTTGTCTTCAATAAAATAAAGTACTAGAAAATACATGCATGCAGAAACCCTCGCCTTGCTGACAAAACCGTTGTATTTTCCGAACAGGAAGTATCTAAAGTCGTTGTCATGGTAACACGATAATTTTTTAAGAATATTCTTACAAATGAAAATCGCCTAAAAATATCACTTTTAATTACAAAATTATCAATTTCCCAACATATTTATGTTAGGTATGTAATTATACGTAATACAAGCTTCAATTTAAGGTAAAATTCAAAAGTGTTCTTTATAAAACTAAACTGCCTTTAACTATTAAATGGCTTTATCGATAAACTTTGAGTTTGCAATAAAATGATTTCAAATTCTCGCTTGCAAATCAACTTTGCTTTATTTTTTATTCAAAAAATTCAATATAATAAAAAAGGGAATCAGTATTAAAGATACACTGAAATTATATGCTGTCTTGTTTTAATAGTTGTTTCATATACGCAAAGGCCGTCGGGTTTTAAAGCCATTATAAAATCAATATTTAAAACAAACTTACCTTCGTTAACGTCGGCTCCCTTCTTTTAGCTGATTCTTTCTCCCTTTCTTTCTTGAAATTTACAAAATCTTGCAGAAATACGAGCAAAAATGAAATATATTTGCAAGAAATTTATCAATCATCAAATCAAGAAATGTTTGCTATTTCGCTGTCGTCATGCAGTCGTTATAATGCAAATTTTAAATTGGACCAATCAGTGTCCGTTATTCATGACAATCCGCCATATTTTTGAGATCAGTGAGGATGACCACCCATCGTTGGTGACCGACGCCCGCGCTCATTGATGAACTTTAGACTTCGCTAATGCTTTCGTTTCTCCGGGTGTAAATAGCCGGGGGGAATTAGTACCCTCGCACGGCGCTTCGCGCCGCCGGCTCGGGGATAATTTTAACATAAGACTAGGAACACACAATTTCACAGAGAGAAATTCCAAATAGATCGATTCGGTATGGGAACAGTGAATACAAAAAGATAAAATTCCACAATACACGCCGTCAGTAAATATGTCATGAACTATACCTATAATCGTCGTCGTCGAATTATTATCGTTTTCTAAATCCACGATAAATTTGCGAAACGATAATTTAACAGTGTGACGACGCATTAATACACATCACTATATATCTTAAAATAAATCCATAGAACGGAAAACAAAATGGATCAAATGATTTTCGCCAATCATATTTTCACAGAAGCTTTTCATGAATGGTGTAAAGACGGTACGCATATAATGAACATATCGCCACTAAATATGCGACTTCGGTTATCGGCACTCAAGCAATCACATAGCGTCGCATCTTGTATAGAATCTAAAATAAATAACATTATCAACTATGTTGAAAATAATCTTGAACAGTATTGTGGTGTAATGGTAATTTTTTAAAATGTCAAAGCAACAAAAATTTATCATGAATTTTTTAAATAAAATTTACGAAGGACCACGACCCCAGAAAAATACGCAAACTATTCGAAAATCTCAACGCTGTATTGCAAATACCCTAAAGGATAAACAATGTCGAAAGCGCACAGCACACACACCAAAATGTTGGATTCATCTTGCTAAACAAGACAATCTACGTATTAAACCCTCCAGAATTATTGCGGCAGGAAAGGGACTATACACATGGAAAAAATCAATTCCTCGCGGTAAAATAATCGGGCGATATACAGGACGCAAATTAACAAGAAAACAAATTGATCAACGTTATGGTGAAAATACAGCTACATATGCCGTATGTAACCCGCGAGGCCGTTGTATCGACGCAACCTACACTACAGATGGTGCACCACGATTTGCCAACGATGCTCGCAAAACACCGTTTAAAAATAATTCAAAAATTAAAGCAGGTCGGCGTATATTTAATTTAAAAGCTAGTAAATCTATACGACCACATCAAGAAATTCTCACATCGTACGGTAATGAATATTGGCAATAAATACACATAATAATTTGTACTTTTATCAGTTTATCTTATGCAATCATGGGGCGCACAAATACGGTCTACACACAAAGACAACCAAATAGTGTTCATAACAAACGATTTCAATTACGTAAAGCATTATCCAACCCAAAATCGTTTCTTACAAAATTTATACAAAAAAAACGAAAGAATGCTAAAAAGCTGGCCCTAAAACATCTACAAGAATCATGGTTTGGAAAGCAGGGAAAAAAATTAAAGAAACAAGTTGGCGGCACAAGTTGGGACAATAATATGCGTCATAAAAAAATAAATTATATTAACCTACAACACGGTGGAACTTTAGAGACAACTAGAAAACCTGTAAATAAACTACCAACTGTTTATCAATATTATCAATAAAATTACCTGATTTAACTCTTGATTTGATTTCATCTTTACACCAAACACATACACGCACAACAAGCGATTTTAATTGACGTTTTTTAATACAAACCGAGGCAATTATATAAAAAATCATTAGTCATGCGCATATATTTAATACTATATACACATAGTTCTACCATATAAGGAAATTCATCTACCCATCGTTATTTTCAAGTACCTATCGTTATTTTTACGATATACTACGTATTTAAATTTACTTCGTTTATAAATAAAGAGAAATAATTTTGACATTATTTCTCTGAGATTGATGATTAAAACGGTGCGATTAAATCACGTCATTATTTTTTTAAATTTTGTTGCACGCCAACATAAGAACGCGGTGTTCATCTCAGGCAAACTTAACCCAAATGAATTGCAATATCTTACGCGTGTTCACTTTATATACCGTCGACGGGTAGTCTATTTAATGCGTTCGCATAATCGCAAATTTCACGACCTCCTTTGAAATGTGAGCAAACGGTAAACGGCAAACTTCGAAGAAAAGTCTTAATTAATTCTTCATAGGGTGTCATATCATCTTCTAAATTTCGATTTCGCCCACCCAACGCAAACCGTCCCCGTTCTTGAATCATCGATTCGGGTAAATCGTGGTGACGACACAACAGCCATATTCGCAAATGTGGTATGACCATAGGCAAATGTACGTGCTGTAATAGAGAAATGTTGCACTGAACATCGTTAAATGCTATCTTCAATTTCGATATATTCACGCGTTCATCAAACTGTACAATGCCCACTGTTTTTTCGCACAATTGTAATGTGTATTGTAAATATTTAAAATATTTCATTCCCATTTGCGTTAATACTTCTTGTACAACATGCCATTGATTATAAGGTTGCGACAACGGTGTAATATGCTCAAAATAATATGACCGTGCTGAAGACATATTTTCGATATACAAAAAATACATACACAATTGTTTTACTTTTATACATACGCATATCCATATTCATATTTTTATATTACCATATAATTATTACAAATATTACTTTTGTTCATCGGACTGTATCTAAAAAAGTGTATATCGTTGAAAACTCAATAAGCGTTTTATATTGTTATTTTTGTTCTTTATCACATGTTTTTTTATATTCTTGAAATTCCGCATACGCTGCATCTGTAGCATGATTTAAGGCACAAAACGTTTCACCTGTTTTCACATCAACATATTCGTAACGCTTCGGGTTAACGTTGTACACAACCCCTGTGGACATAAATCGACTTCTTTCATCAGGTGTTCCATCTAACAGCCCCATATGTTTCTCCGCACGGTATGCTTGCAAAGTACCCGCCAGACCCGCACGACACAGGTGACAAAAACGTTCCCGAAAATTTTCATTTGTGGGGGCTACACACCGTTGTGTATGGTGACAATGTTCACAAAATATACCACAAGACATTGTATACTGCGCTAGCGCTTTAACCTCAAGCTCTTGATCACTCATCAAAGACATATTTTCAAATACACAAAATACATATAATTTGTTTCACTTTTATACATAGGGATATCCATGCATACGCATACAATTAAATCTAATATTATCATATTTCATAAAAAATGGTTCGATTATATCTTTACAAACATTGGCTAATTTGTCATCGACATATTTTAACGGTGCTCTAAAAGCATCACTTCGAGCCGTAACAAAATCTGAATCTAAAATGTACGAACTTGCGGGCACGCCACCACGCAACATACTATCACTATCAATACTATTCATAATATTCTTTAACGGTTCTGTTTTAACTAAAATATCCAAAAGTATATTTATAAATGTATCTACATAACTATTACAACATCGACAAACTAACAAATGTCTCATTAGTGCTTTAAAATATTTTCCATTAAATACTTTCTCATTAATTTCAAAATCTAAATGTGTACCTAATGCATAAATTATTTCACGTTGTTTTTCATAGGGTTCTGCAAGAACACATACACGTTTATATAATTGTTGACTATTTACATATATGCCAACTTCGGATAGTACATCGTGAATTTTTGATCCGCACGGGCCCACACCAACGTGAAAATAATTTGGAAACGATATGTACTCTTCACCAATCCTAAGATACTCGTTGTTTATCGCCATATCTTCACGTTGTACAACTTCAATGGTGCCACGTTGTAAAACCTGTCGACAACAAAACTTCTCTTTCCCCAGATACATATACCATCGATTAGCTTCATAACGAACGTAAATATACTTAACCCATTCTGCAGGAATTATATAAAATGTTTTGGGATTTAATTTGCCCTCTTGCATACGTTCTTCATTATCTTTACGATTGTACAAGCCGACAAGACAATACGAAGGATTTGCGGGATCGTGAAGAATTATATCGCGCGTTCCCGTACCATAATCGCCTTTTAACCACAGCAAAGACTTCTGCACAATTACCTTTATACCGCCGTCGTTGGTTCGTACACTTTCATACACACACGCACGATGATAGTTTCGCACTCGAATTTCTCGTGTACCTAAATCTGCTGGTTTTTTAAAATACAAATATCTACAGACCGCGTATAAATTCCATAAAACCGGATCAAAATAGTAATTTTCAAGTAATTCACTCAACGCTTGTACGGCCAACGATTGATCGCTATAATTCATATTGTATTGAGAAAATGTGAAAACACTTTTACTTCGTTGCCGCTACAGTGATATTTATCCCCCGCTGATGCAATATGATACCCACAACTTTCATTTGCAATGTTATACTTTGACAATAAACATTCGTATTTTGGACATCCCAAAAGTTCCATATTGATACAGGACACGCCCAACATATTTAACAGATCACGTTCAATATCGCCACCTTTATACGCAACCAAATCGGCATTTTTAAACATTATTCGTAATATAGTAAGTATTTCGTGATAAGAATAAAAATTATCATCAACACGATGACGTTCAATGGATAAACCGTGGACAGCTTTTATTTGATATCGTACACTTCCATCGTTTTCATTAAAAAGTGCATAATTAGGGGTATAAATTTGACAGGTTTTGACAGTATTTGTTGATCTGCACAAGATCGATACTTCGCGTAAAAAATGTTTTTTTTCATACGTATACGCTTCACAATCCAAAATATGTGTTATGCGTACTTTCAATAAATTACGGTAATGTTGAAAATATCTCAAAACAGAATCATCTATTTCACAATGTCGTAACTTAAAAAACGCTTCCATTCCCAAAACATTTATTTTTTTACAATACCCACATCTTTTCTAAATCATCACGCTTAATACAACTACAGCTAACGGTACTTTTACAGCGGCACGCTATGTTCATCTCTAAGATTGAAATGTTCATACGCTGATTATATAACATTATTTTACGAACTAGTTGTGGTGCAATTAATACATTGTAATTTTGTTCAATCTCTCCTACAATTTCTTCAACATTTGTCTCATCCATTTTCTTATATAATGTCATACTATGTGTAATATAATCAATTATACGTTTTACTTTATCACTATTTTTTAAATACGACATTACATTATGTTCACAACTTATATATGTTAGCTCTTTACCCACGGATCTTTTATAACATGCACCTTTTACATTTACGCAACACCCATATTTCATAGTTAATTGTACTACCGTATGTGATACATCTAGTGTATTATCTAAATATCCAAATGTCATAAAAATAGTTACTATTCGATTCGGTTCATCATCAAAACATTGTGTTGCATATAACCACTTGTTCACATTATTATATAGACGATCAAAAGCCATTATTGTAATTCCGTGAATAGACCACACATTAGCACTCATTAGTCTACGCAATTCCTTCTCTTCCGCATTATTCGGGGACAGATGGCATCGGCCGGCCATCACTAAATTTAAACTTTGCGTCTGCAAACAATTTAAAACACTCGCGAGGTTTAGCACAATAACATACGAGGCCAAAATGTCCACAAGTGCAATGACTCGTACAAACGTATTTCAAACACTGTATTAATCGATATGATAAATGTACATCACAATGTGCTAAAATCGTTTCTTCCAAATTCAGCAAGTTCACTTCATCGTGATTATAAATACAATACGCTACAACATCTTCTAACGTTCTCGTAATAACACTCTTTGCTACATTCGCATCGTATTCCCGTGCTTTTGTCGAAACATGTTTTACATCGATAACGTTGCGCATATTCTCTAACACAATAGATTCAAATCGTCGACGACCCCGCCTTAAACGTCGCTGTGGAAACACTGTGCATCGAATTGTTGCTGTTAGATAAACACGCCCCAACCAATCAATTACACCGACAGAAATAAGCCTTGTACCACAAGTAAAAATTTTAAAATCATAACAATATATAAAATAATCGGCTATTTTTCGTATACGGTTACCAAAAAATAAAAGACTGCGCGAAATACCATAATAAGGTTGTGTACGTGTAAACAACGATTTATACCAATTGTATATTTGGTAATCCATTTTGGTATGGAAAATATTTATTAATTTCTCATCATCATCGACATAATTATAGGGTTTGAACATTCGCAACGGACAGTTTTGATTTTCTTGAAATACACAACAATTGCACTGTGCATAAACCGTATCTATACTCATTTTACAAAATTCAATTAGGTTCATCCCTAGCAACACTTTTCTTTGAACTAAACATTGTCCAAAAATATTCCATTAATAAATTAGAATAAAGTATTTTTTTATAACTATCATACATATTAATATAACTATCATATCTATTATTATCATCAGTTGTAAAATCTAATTCAATATTCAAATATGTCGTCATCCAATAGGCGAGATAATCATCATGTTCAAATCTAACGCGTATACGCGTCTCGGAATATATTAAATCAACCCTATAAAATGTTAATGTTCCAGAACTTGCAACCCCCAGTGTCAAATCCACATCACTTTTTATTTCAGACAAGAATACAAAAAACTTTAACGTATAAATTTCATCCCTGAGAAATATATTCGTCGTATGAAGCGCCCATCCCGTCACATCATAGGTTATAAGTAGACAATCAATTAAATCACGATCTTCTTCAAAATAAGGTTTTATTTCATCTTCTTCTTTTTGAGATCTAATATACAAAATTAAATTATTCTAAAAACTTTACACAACTCACGTATGGCTGCGGGTGACACTAAAACACCCTTTGTTACACGATTTGTTTGTAATATTCGTAATTGTAATTCTACAATATTTTCAAGCGAATATTCGTGTTGATAAAAATACTTTTGCAAAACACGCATTACGTACCCCATTATAACGTAGTCATAATCATTGTTGTTCCGCCCTCCTAAAATACTATACGTTGTAGGTTTTACACTATATTTTACTGGTCCATAATCCCGACCCAATTCTACTTTTTCAATATTTATTGAATCTTTTATAAATTCATGTTTCCCCATGTAAACATATGTCCGCACATCACTATATAATACGTCATTATGCAAAAATGTTATCATCATTTCATCAATATCAATATGGTAATCAGAATGGTCATCGTGATCAGAATGAATATACATATTAGCCAGACCATCTTCGTTGTGTGAAGGACAAAACCATCTATGAATTATCGCGTGCTGCCACTAAAAAATGAACAAACAGGTATAAAAAATAATTCACAATTATATATATATATATATATATATATATATATATATATATATATATATATATATATATATATATATATATATATATATATATATATATATATATTAAAACTATTTATTTTCTTATAGTGGGACCATGGAATAATTTTAAACATATTTAATATCCAAAGAAATCGCGTAAGAAAAAAGGTAAAAAAAAATTTTTCCCTTAAAAATTAAATTATATTCTAATTTATTTATTTATATTTTTTAGTGGAATAACAGAAACGTCGTGGATGAAACACAATTTGAACCTATTTCCATTTTTTATCGTGATTTTATATACGACGGTATAACATGCTATATGTATATGGAACCCAATTCACGAAACCCAACAAACAACATGTACACGTTTGTAAAAATGGACATTAATCGTACCGACAATGTAATATATAAATATTTTAATGTACTATTTTATAATTGTTCGTCCGACAGCTCAACAGACCACCTATTATTTGAACGTATACGCAATTATATATACGGATATTTTAATGATCATTCCTACGATATATTTGCAGTCAACACTATGTACTGAATAGCAAGGATATCTTAAGGGATCAAGGTTGTCCTTTCTACGGTGTATTACTCGAACCATGTATTATTAAACTATTTTATTCACGTTCTTAAACATACCTTTTGATTCATTGTGTTTCATAATTTGTAGTAGATGTATAGGTATTATCTGCATCTAAATAATCTTCCAAATTATTATCTAGAAAAAAAAATACTAAATCCAGTGTTTTCTTCTGCCCAAATATTATATAAAACGCAGCCATAAAAACCAGAACAATTACGATACGTTGCCAGATCTCGCGTTTCTAGATAAAACAGACAAAAATTGGATTATATATCAATGTCACATTCCATTTCCATATACGGTTAATAACCGCAACCGCCGCAAAATATTATGTCAATAACACTATTTATTTTAACATTCCACTACCATATACGGATAAATACATACGCACACTAAACTAGTAATTACACACACAAACAATTACGTTTAGTTCATCATAAATCTCACAATGGACGCTACTGAATTTTTAGAGTTTATAAATTGCATGGGCATTGAATTAAATATGACAAATTTAACAATATACACAAACCTGTATGTTAATTTTTCACAATTTCAACCCGATGCTCCAACGGATGATTTTTCAACAAAATTTGTGCAATGGAAGCAAACTTATGACAGGGCGGACGAAATTCAACGTCAACAGCAGCACCTGAACACATTTAATACCCCTAGCAGGGATCCACGACTTTTAAAAGCCGCCTGTACAGCACAACCCGAAGCATTAGCAAGCTTAAAGAACGATGACTTATTTCAAAATTTTATATTGACACCACCGACGGAACCCCAACAACAACAACCCTGCATTATGGATAATCAACACCATAACGAAAATATTGAAATTCTCCATCAGGGCAACACGACACCACCGCCACCACCGCCTACTCCACCACCAGCACCACCGCCACCATTGCCTTTGTTGCCAGCACCACGATCGCAACCTCTACCACCGTCGCCGCCTGTACCCTTTTTAACTGCAACACGACCACCACCACCTTACCCCGCACCACTTTATCACGGTGTTGATATTCCCATTCATGGGCCTAATGAATGGAACCATCCCGATAGTCTTTGCACAAGCAAAACCGTTAGTCATCGCGGTAAAAATATTGAACAGTTAGAGGCCGTTTTTCTTGATACGGTTGCAGCCGAACAACCAAAATCAAAAAAGCGAAAACGAACTGAAGTAAAACGGGGGCGACCAACAAAAAGCAAATCCCTACTTCGAGATGTTCGAGAAGCTTCCACGGTTCAGAAAACCGAAAATTCCAGCAGTGATGATGATCACGAATTAGAACTACGTGAAGTTAAACTATTGACGGGAACTGGAATTGTTCGCAAAAAGTTTAGTTTATTTACAAAATAATAATAATGATATAAAATGTTTTCAAATAAAACATTATTCCTCATTGGAATTTATAGCTGAAAAACGCTTAGAAGCGTTTGAAATTATTAAAAACCAAAGAAGAATTTTAATGCAGTTAAACTATTTGGAACAAAACACTCTTAATAGTCTAGAAAGTATTTAATTTTTTTGTACATATACTATTAATTTTTGTTAATCAAATACTTGTTTTGCATTAATTATTTTTAATAATTATTAATTATTTCCGATTTTTTTTTATTATTTTTATTTTACCCCAAATTATCCCCTTATACCCCCTTATATCCCCTTATACCCCCTTATACCGTCCGGCGTAACACGACACCGCACACCTGTCAATCATTCGATCCAACAACGTCACGTGACGCCGGGCATAAGTTTGGCGGCAACTTTAAAAATCACTCATTCCGGTCGACCACGGCTTCGGACACACATCCGGTTATATGCTCTCTCAGCAAAGGGCGTGACGTCACTACACAACACGCCGACCGAGCAATACAAAAACACACTTTTGGGGGACTGGCAACCACCCCCAAAACCTCCCCCGTCCGCAGACACTATTTTTCAACTATTTTTGCCGACGTCAGCACTTTTTCGTAATACTAATCTATAATAAACACAAAAAATTCCCACCCCCCCCAAAAAAAAGTCGTTTTGCAATAGTCTACTACTATAGTATTGCAGAGTTTCTTGCATTAATTGAAAGAATTAAAAGTAGTTTGTGTTTAGCATTAATTCCTTCGGTAAATGGCTGAGGAATTTGGTAAAATGAAATGTAAAACTTTATCGTTCGAAATAAAGTTGATAATAACACATTTTACTTTAGAAGTTTCGAAAACACAGTACAGCGGTCAGAACTCCATACAGCACAATGGAAACATGACATATCAAAAGAAATAGTATCGTAGAAAATACAAATTGGAAATTTATAGGACGCAAAAAAAAATTGTTTAAAAAAGAATAGTACGTCCAACATCCGGAAGAGATTTTGCTAATTGTTTGAAGCGAATGTTTCGGAGTTTTAAATAAGTTTTAAATTATCCGTGAATATGTTTGACACAATAAAATAATAAAGAAATTCTACCTTTCAAGTTATACTGTAAATACAACATTTTGTCCTTTTTTCGTTTTCTGGGACGATTTTTTCAATATTGTGTAGACTTCGAAACAAAATTTGTCGAATCATTCTTTTGTGAAAAGCATTATTTACTAGTCTGCTAGTAAATACTGCCTCAGATTTACTAGTCAACAAGCCAATGAGAATGCGCGAAAGCTCATTTGAGATGCAAAATGTATACTAATTGTGTATATTGATATCGGTCCCTCCTGAATCCTGCTTTACCTTTGGGAAATTAAATAACAATGAGAATAATTTACAACGCATACGAATCTGCGATAGTTTGGGAGAGAGAAAACTTACCTCTTTTTCTTTCACACAGCGCATGTCACCGACAAGTTATATAATTACGCTTTCAGGAAAAATAAGATATATTTGTTGCAGATTTTATATGAAGGCATATGGCTAAATTTCCCGAAGGCAGCCGATAGAAATGAATTGATGCCTAGGGTTTCCTTGGCAATTCCCTCTTGTGAAAAAGGGCGTATTGGAGAAGGGTCATTCCGGATGTACTATCTTCGGCAAAGAAGAAACCATATGGAACAATGGAGTACACCGAAACAACGTTAAGGAAACAAAAATAATGTTAGACTTGAGGTTCTGCCGAGACTCGAACTCGGATCCTTGGATTCAGAGTCCAAAGTGCTAACCATTACACCACAGAACCATTTGATGTTTGACGTTTCATTAATGAATTTCTCCACTCCAGGTTAAAGTTCCCGGGTTATTTGAAGATTTCTGGAAAGTTATTGTTGAAAAAATGTCGTTCCGCATCCCATATGGTAGCGTGGCCGAGTGGTCTAAGGCGCTGGTTTTAGGCACCAGTCATTTCGATGACGTGGGTTCGAATCCCACCGCTGTCAGTTGTTATTTTCTGAATTCCGGACTCGAAATCGAAGATTTTAAGCTATTGTTTCATCAAACGTTTCCAAATAATGGTTAGAGAAAAATGGTTAAAAACTTGCTTCCAAAGTTGATCAATTCAACTTGCCGTTACTTTTAGATTAGCCAATTAGATTTCGTTTCAGAACCGATTGACCAATAAGAAACGCGGAGGAAGAAAAAAGAAATTTGAATTCGTATGAATTGATCTACTTGAGGAAACTAATTCATGCAATATTTTATCCAAACTTTCATTGCATCGACAGTAAATGATTCCAAATACTGGTCAGGGAAAAATTGCTAAAAACTTGCTCCCGGAGGGGATCGAACCCTCGACCTTCGCATATACTTCAGTACTGCTTATAAGTACGACGCACTAACCGACTGGGCCACGGGAGCAAGTCATGTTAACGGTGTTATTATTTTCCAAACTTTTTGTTTCGGAATGAAGCAGGTTTGGGCGTAAAAATAATAGCAGGAAATGGTCTCGATCTATTGACCTCTGGGTTATGGGCCCAGCACGCTTCCAGTGCGCCACCCTGCTCTACAGGGTACATTAATCAATTAACTAGAAAATACATGCATGCAGAAACCCTCGCCTTGCTGACAAAACCGTTGTATTTTCCGAACATGAAGTATCTAAAGTAGTTGTCATGGTAACACGATAATTTTTAAGAATATTCTTACAAATGAAAATCGCCTAAAAATATCACTTTTAATTACAAAATTATCAATTTCCCAACATATATATGTTAGGTATATAATTATACGTAATACAAGCTTCAATTTAAGGTAAAATTCAACCACAAACAATTCACAAAACGTTTTAAAGTGTTCTTTATAAAACTAAACTGCCTTTAACTATTATTAAAATGGCTTTATCGATAAA